CCCCAAAACCCCAAAACCCCAAAACCCCAAAACCCCAAAACCCCAAAACCCCGAATATTGTTAGAATATTGAATATTAACTTGGTGGCCATACTTCTATAAAAGGTAAATTTTAAGCATTAAATTTAACAGAGTTGTTTTCCAGGAAGTACTCAATCCTCTCGAGCATGTCACTAGCACTGTAATCAAAGTTAAGAGTAGAGTCTTCACCTCTGAGAGCAACTGAGTACAAGTCATAGGCCCTTGCTGCCTGAGTTTCTTCTCGATAAGTGCCTATGTACTTCTTCACATGCCCAACATTGACCATTGCTTGCCAGTTGGCGTTGTTCCTTGATACACCAATGTATCTAGAGCGTCTTTTGAAAGTAGTCTTGTTGTAGCCGATAGCTTTCTTTGGTGAGCGAAAGAGTCCAATCACATTTCCAGACAGAATACTCAGTCTTAGATTAACAAGGTTCTTTCTGATGTCAAGTTCCTTGGTTTTACGTCTACGCCTCTTGGGTGGTGAAGCTTGAGTTTTGTATTCTTCACTGCCTTGAGACAAAGTCTCTTTATCAGACAAACTTGTCTGTGATTTTGGTTGAACTTTAGTGAAGGCAGATGTCTGTGAGTGACAGAGTAGGTTTTCTTCATCTTGTTTCACTTGGCTCCTAAGCAAACTTTAAGTATGATAATTCAGGTAAAGTGTAAAGAGAAGGTAGATAAAATCTTGAATTATCTTACTTTTCTTCTTTATTTGCTTCTGTAAGTGAAGACACCATTCTGTCCTGCTGCAAACAGCAGAATCAATAATATTGGCTTCCAAACACTTTAGGCTCTAGTTGATCGACACAATACATCGAGCTGAGCCCTTGGATGATACCTTGGTAGCCCCACATTGGCAAACAAGAGTAAGTGTTGTTGTTATCAAAGTTAGAAAAATCCATTTTTATTATTATTAAGTCTTAATTTATCTTCTTTAAATAATATTTCCATCTCGGGTAAAAATCTCACTGCTTTGTCGCTCTACATTTCAACAAGTCTTGGAGTTCTCAATGTTCTAGAATTTCCTAGAATAAGAGTGAGCTTCTGGAAGCGATCATAAGGTTTATCAAACTCAATCATTAGGAATGCTAATGTTTAGCTGAGCTTACCATGAAGAGTCACTAAAACCTTCTGAAACTGTCATAAATTTACAAAGTAAGCCTGTTATCACGTATCAGAGAGGGATCTGCGAGATTCTTTCTTAATATACCATTTCAAAGCTTGTTTGTCTTTTGAAGTCTTCATCTTCAAGTGATTAGTCTTGCAAAATTTTTTCATCGAAATTTTGGTGAGGGAGGTTTGAAACTTATTTGGCATACATTATAGCATGCAATAACCTGGATAAATTTGACCGGTTTGGTGCTTCAAAGAAGTCAGGTGTGACAATGAGCTTTTATGCAACCATAAAGCAACTGAACTGCTAGCTTCTTACTGGATTATTAAGGTATAACAGGGTGTTATGAGCTGCTATGGGTTAGCAGGCAAGTACGGATAGGTAAGAGACTTGGTTTATCAAAATTTCTGGGAAAAACTAGTCATAATCATTTCGGGATCGATCTATCCTTGTTTGAAGTCATTGAAATATTCTTAGTTGTGAACTTCTCTCAAGCCCCTGATCACCCGAGGAGATGTTTAATAGATTTAGAAGCAAGGCAAAGTGCTCTAACACGAGGATATAAGAAAAGGATAAACTAAATACCATAAGTTTCTTTCAGAAATGTTTTCTTTTTGTACTCACAGTTATTCAAATTAGGTCAACGAGAGTCTTCATAATTCTCTGTTATGAGTTACCCTGGCCAAGTATATGAGACGAATACCAGGCTAACCTCAAGCTAGTGATCAATTTTATGCAGAGGAGGACTTCTAATTTTCTGAAGCTCATTCAGCATGTTTCAAATTTGGCTCGTTATTTACTATAGGACATAGACTTTTTATATTTTCTTTGTCTTGAGCTGAAAATTAGAAACTTGCAGAAGACTTGATGAGTTAGGACTACAAGTAGGGTTTTCAGAAGGTAAATAGAATGGTGAGCCCACCAATTGGAGCATTAGATGTTCACCTAATTTCATTGATTGACTGGCATGATCTCACCAATCTCACCAATTTACCTGCCAAAATCAAGATGATATCAACTCTGGATGATATTAACTATAAATTGGGCGAATTTGGCTGCGCATGCAAGAAACTGTCTTGCAGAACACTAATATAAGTGAAAAAGCTAGCCCAATCATTCAGGGACTCCGATTAATCATAATTATAAGTAAAATTCTAATATAGCATTAAAATTATCCCAGTTCAGAAGTTTGCGTACAAATAAAACTTTGGGAAATAAAGAAGCCATAAATGGACAGCTTTGAATGTGCTTTATTGCATCCAAAAATGGCTAATACTTAGATTAGGCATTGATGAAGATTTGTACATCTTCCCTAAGCATTCAGAGTCGCTGAAGCAAATTCTGTGATGTGCTGAGGTTCTTTGTTTAGCAGACAAATGAGTTTAAATGACAATATATCTTGATCACAACCATCCTAATTCCAGGCAGAGCCATAGTTGGGTGAAGGGGACTTCAAACTAGTCTAGAGCCTCCAGGAGATAAATGAGTTAATTCTGAACCTGCCTGGAGATTTATACTTCTTTCTAAATTCTAAAATTTTAATGGATCGTGTATAAACTGAAGAATCACTCTCTAAATTAAAAGAAATATTTTAAAATGAAGATATTCGAAGCATGATATCTTCAGTCAGAAGATTTCCTTGAATACGGGACTAGCAAAGTGGGAACTCAAAATTTGTACAATAATCAGCTGTATGAGATCCTCAACCATACTCACGATTCTCTAAATTTTTAATCAAGCACTCTAGGAAAGCTATACACCTCTTGGTGTTCCTGCCTTTTATAGAATGGAGGATTGATTGCCATTTTAGGATACATTCAACCTAATTAGTGACTTTTGGCGCATAATCCGATGCTATTTTAATGCTAATTTGCTAGCGAGGTTGACTAGCAAAGATACATTAAATAATTTTAATATTTTCTCCCCATCAATCAGTAATCTAGGTTGCCATTATAGACTTATCAAAGACGATGAGCTAGAGGAGCCCGTAAAATACCAATTCACTCTTTCTAAGATAAACTAAAATATATATGATACTTATTTCTTTCTAAAAATATACTCTAAAGCCTTGTCATCCATTTCGGTTTATAGGAATTTATTTAATTATCTATAAAACCTCCTGGATATGAGAAGTTGTATTAATGAGTCAAATGGGAAATGTTCAGATCCCGAAGGCTAATGGTGACTGCATAGTTGGAACAGGACCGAAGTGTAAAATATTGCCAACTGTTCTTGCTAAAGAGACTCTACTTCACAAGATTAATGGCATTTCTTGCCTCTGGTAAAAGAAAGAAATGAATACATTCGTTCATAGGTTAAAGAATCACTAACACCAAAGTATTTTAAATTAAAACATATTCAATAGAGGGATCTAGTCCAGGGGTTTTGGGGTTTTGGGGTTTTGGGGTTTTGGGG